GTAGTCAAAAGGGCCAAAGGACAAAAGGGCCAAAACTGAACAAGTCAAAAGGGCCAAAGAAAAGTCAAAAGGGCCATAGATCAAAGTCAAATAAGAACATACAAACTAATATATATTTACATGTTTTATTATATTTGTATCAATATGTAGTAGTAATAATACTAATAATGTATAGTGTGATCATCAAACATTCAGGTGTTGATATGTGATCGAATATTATACTGGAGTCTCAATGGCAGACATGTCTGCAGGTTGCGCTAGCTCCACTGTAAAGTCTCCAACTGTAAAATTACCTGACTGAGACTCGGGCTCAGAGCAGACATGGCAGAGAAACTGAAGATGCTCTCGCAAAGATGGGGGTACTCCTCTCTTGTGATGTATGTGTCACAGCTACGATGGGTCTATCTCTGACAACGGCCACACTCCAGGGCATGTTGGTTCTTCCTAACTGGGGGCGGTGGGGTAGCCTAGTGGTTAAAGCGTCCGCTCGTCACGCCGAAGACCCGGTTTCGATTCTCCACATGGGCACAATGTGTTAAGCCCATTTCTGGTGTACCCAGCCGTGATATTGCTGGAATATTGCTAAAAGCGGCGTAAAACTAAACTCAGTCAGTCAGTCTTCCTAACTGTCTTGTCACAAGTGACACGCTTTACAGGCGTAGTTACCAATTTAAATTGTGGTTGAAATGTTCGTCTTACATAGCATTCTGCGTCAAGAGACCAATCACAACTAATTAAAACGATAATCTTGTTTAGATTACTAACTATATTACTAGTGTAATTGTCACCAGTGACTCTGTTAATACCTCTTGTAATCATTGACAGTTGGGTGTCTGTCAATCGGGTGTCTGCCAGTTAGGTGTCTGTCAATTGGGAGATAACCAAATTAACAGTTGTATGGTTGACTGTACGCATAAAATAAACACTTAACCACTCGGAGATGTTTTAAATAAACAACACTGAGACACTCTGAGATGTTTAGGATTAGAACTACTTCAACAACATGTAATGAATTTCTTCTAATCTTATTATTTTCTAAAAGTTTGGCTTTTTTTACTTTAATCCTTTTGACTTTCCTTTGGCCCTTTCGGCTTTTCTTTGACCCTTTTGACTTTTTCAGTTTGGGCCTTTTTGTCCTTTGGCCCTTTTGACCTGTTCCCTCTAAAGTAAAGTATTTCTTAAATGCTCAACGCCTATTCTTCTGTTTCGAAAATGAGAATGATGTTCAGAAACTCAAAATTAGATGCAAAAATGTGTGTTAGTTTGTTTGTTTGTTTCGGTAGATGGTCGAGATAGATGATTCTCCAGCGGTGACGTTTTAGATTTGGTGCCATTGTCGCTGTTTCTGAATGATCTCTGTACGTGTTAGGGGAGGTGGGGTAGCCTAGTGGTTAAAGAGTACGTTCGTCACGCCGAAGGCCCGGATTCGATTCCACACGGGTACAATGTGTGAAGCCCATTTCTGGTGTCCTCCGCCGTGATATTGCTGGAATATTGCTAAAAGCGGCGTAAAACTAAACTCACTCACACTCACTGTGTACGTGTTATTGAAAGTGAGTGTGTTTAGTTTTATTCCAGCTATATGGCGGCGATCTGTAAATAATCGAGTCTGAACCAGACGATCCAGTGATCAACAGTATGAGCATCGATCTGCTCAATTGGGAACCGATGACATGTGTCAACCAAGTCAGTGAGCCTGACCACCCGATCCTGTTAGTCGCCTCTTACAACAAGCATGGGTTACTGAAGATCAATTCTAACCCGGATTCAAGGGTTGTTATTGAAAGTGTTCATCAAGTGATGCACTGGTGATTCATTTACGAGTTTCAATTTCTGAATGAGTCATGTGTTACAGTCAACAGTTTAATGCTTGAGTTTTAATATTTGTATGGTTAACGACCGACAAAATATTGAATTTGTCTTTAAGCCAACAACCACCGTTAAAAGTCGGATATATTATTTCAAATCCTGTACTGTTTTATAGAACATTGAAAAGGTCGTGTAAGATGGAAATATGAGAGATTAATTTTTTAATTTTTTTTTTTAAAAACAAAACAACTTTTGCGCTATAATATTTTTGTTACAAATGAAAGCAACATAACCCCAATAAATGCCCTGTTTTTAAAGGTCAGCATTATAATGATGTGGCGTCGCTCCCCTGAGAATAGCAACGGGCATATAATGAAAACCTACCCGTCCAACAAAGACGATGCTTAAAGCTGGTCCTGCGTCATTATGTTAAATGATTGCAGGAAGGAAATCGTTTTATTAAATGTTAAAATCGTTTCAGTAAACAGTTTGTTCAAACGATAGATTTTATGAACTTTTTTATCAGAAAATACATAACGACATTTCAATAATCGACTATATTTTTTTGTATTTGAACAAATATTGTTTGCTGAGGACGTCACTCAGTTTGTTTCCTTAAATGTTTGTTTATTTGTTTGTTGTTGAACGCCGCATAATATTTAATCTATATGTCATCGGTCGTAAATTATTGAGTCTGGACAGGAAAAGCCAGTGACTGATAGCATGAACATCAAAGGACAAGGGTAGGACAAGAATACGTTTCTGGGGTCCAGGGCCCCATTCCTCAAAGCGATCGTAGCGCTACGACAGTCGTAAGTCTATGTTAAAGTATGGGAGTTAAGATCATCTTAGCTACAATCGTTATGTGGAACGGTGCCCAGTATTCTTACTCGTAATTTCCAGAGGTAAATTATGCTTTTACTCCATGTGAAATACACAATATTGTGAAAGTTCACTTTCATACGATTTACAGTGAAAGTTCAACATGACCTCACTTTATTCTTCCATATCAGAAGACCGAATAATGAAACACTTTCATCCCAAATACAATTTAAATACTTTATTAAAATCGTTTTCACAACTTATGTCTTCAAATTACGGAGATTTCAGAGTATATATTAATGTGATGGAATTACATATGCCACTTCATCAAGAATATTAGTTTAATCACAGTTACCCTTAAGCTTGTTTGTATCGATTGCTATGTTCTGTGAACCAGTGGCCTTTTACTTAACAACGATATCTAACTGGTTACTTCTCGTTAAAGAGACAGGGAGCGGTGTCTTGATGTTTGATAATATAAATGCTGTTGCAATCATTTACCACATCTGAGAGCGGTGGATCTCAGTCTCCAGTGCTTCTAGAAACGACCGTTTGGGGACTTTGAGAGCCGGCTACACTGGTTCTCTGCTTCCTTGCTTCACTGAATCATTGCCTCTCTCTTCAGAACAAAGAAATGTCTTCTTTGACATTTGGTGCCTAACAATTTCTTCTTGCAAGACAGCTTTGTTACGACATCAAGCATGTACTGCAATGTACTTGTTTCCGTTTGGCGCCATTTTTTTCAAACTTATCACAGTGTCTGAAACCATTCGGGTACATCAGGACATTTTTTATCCATTAGATGACAGTCGGGACATTATTTACCCATTTGATGACAGTCGGGACATTATTTACCAATTTGATGACAGTCCGGACATTATGTACCCATTTGATGACAGTCGGGACATTGTTTATCCATTTGATTTCATTCGGAGACATTATTTACCCATTAGATGGCAGTCGGGACATTATTTACCCATTTGATGACAGTCGGGACATTATTCACCCATTTGATGACAGTCGGGGCATTATCTACCAATTATTTACCCATTAGATGACAGTCGGGACATTTTTTACCAATTTGATGACAGTCGGGACATTATTTACCCATTTGATGACAATCGTGACATTATTTACCCATTTGATGACAGTCGGGACATTATTCACCCATTTGACATTATTTACCCATTTGATGACAGTCGGGACATTATTCACCCATTGGATGACAGTCGGGACATTATCTACCAATTATTTCCCCATTTGAGGACAGTCGGGAACAATATTTACCCATTACTTTCCCATTTGGTGACCGTCGGGAACAGTTTTTACCAACTGGGTGACAGTCGGGTATTATCCAGCCATTAGATGACAGTCGGGGACATAATTTACCCATTTGATCAGTGTCCAGGCAATATTTACCCATTTGATGACAGTCGGGGACAATATTAACCTATTTGACAGGCGCTTTAACAGGTCCATCTGATGACAGCTGGGATCATTCTAGACCGAGTTGCTGACAATCGGGATCATTATATATCATTATTATTATTTATCATAAAGCACTGAATCTTTCCTTAAAATTGATACAAAATGTACTGCACACTATTCCGTCATCATATAGTGTCATTTATCACTACTGCACGTGTAATGTGTGGTGGTGTGTGATCTTGTGCATAGAGACCAGGGTGTCCTTACTGTTAAGGTGATCGTAACTCACATACGACTGTCGTAGCGCTAAGGTTGTTTTGTACATTTCCGTGTGACCGTGTTAGGCAGCTTGACTTCTGATAGTTTTTTGACAGGTGATGTCTCACATTAGACAAGTGAGTGTGTTTAAAATTTCCTCTGTTCACCCAGCAGTGAATGGGTACCCGGTGGGATAAGTCATATGACTGTGAACCTTTTAGCACCTCACAGGCAGCTTGGATTAACCGGAGTTATATTGTCTATTGCGCTTAGAGAATGCTGTGTTCAACGCCATATACATGATAAGACATCAGAACTAAAACAAAGATCTCATGTACGGTACAGTACGACTCATGTAACGGAGATACACATGTAATTTAAAACTTCTGTAACGGAGCACGTGTAATGTACGTGTACTGTAACGTGGAAATTTCAAGTTTCGTATAACTTGATCACCTGTGTCATCTAACAGAGCCATCAAGAGTACTAAATATGCATCTTCCTGAGACAAGGCCGAATATTAAAGTGGACTCGGATTGAAATATGTCTGTGTTCCCCTAGGCTCATAAAACATATTACATCACTGACATAACTTGCATTTGCTTCAAACAAAATGGCTCTACTCTGTCAAGACAATCTGATCGATAATCAGTCATATCTACATTCTAAGAAAATGGCCTTACCTTAAATGCATCAAAGCTATTGAGTACCTTGATTAAAAACATAACAAGACTTGCAAAATGTCTGTTGACACCCAATTGACGGTATATATGCTTTACAAAACCTTCAATCGACCGAAATACGCACGGCATTCGCCATTTTGTTTACGAACCGGAAGTTGCTTTTGTTACGCGAGTTTTGATTGGACTATGTATACATTCATTAGTCCAGACACAATCCCCGAATATACGTCGTAGTGATTAAAACCCGCTACATTTTCAATGGAACCAAACAAAATTAATTGGTTTGCTTGGGTCGACATTGAAAATGTGGCTGGTCTAATTTTAATCATTATGATGGAAACTTTTCAGACAGTAAGTCTTGTCTGTAATTTGTGTTGCTGTTTTTTTTAAATTGTGTACGTTGGTTGCTCGCCGCTCGTTTCCCTTGACAGCTTGCAAAGAAATCCCAGATTTTTGTGGTAAGGGTGTAAAGTGGAATTTTATGTTCAATATGGTCCCTTGTATGGAGAAGATGAAGCACTTACCTACTGCAGTATCTGTGCTCAATATACGATGATGTAAAGCATCATCATTGAAACTGTTTACACTGACCATCTGTTATTAAAAGGTATCTTTATGTCATCGTAGGCAACCGGACCGGAGCTTTTGAACTATACTGGACAAAAATAGTTAAAGATATATGTGAATTTTTAAATTATGAATATGATCTGTTTATGCATTGACACACTGATAAAATATCAATAATAAAAATAGCAATATCCCTAACTTATTTTGGCCAGTATATATATGTCTACGTTGTTGTATTTTTCTGTCAATTTCGTATATGTATATCAGAACTGCATGTGTGATGTCTGACTCATGTCTCAACCGTCCTTGTAAACGTTCTTCCACTTGAGTCCTCTCCTTTTTTCATACTTGTATTTTCATCCTGATGTAACGGGAAGGCTGACCTGTCCATTTCCGCATTCTGTTAATGTGTCCACTGCTAAACAAACTTTAGAAAGTTGATGCAAATACCGTGACTTTCGACAGTTTTTGGACGTTTTCCTGTAGTTTTATTAACAACGATCCAAACTGACGTGGTGCAATTGTCAATCATGTTCCACGTTCATTCGTTCTTTGTGTATTCGTGTTTGGACAAACCCAGATTCAAACTCGCTATCAGAAGTTTTTGCCACGCCTAAGGGACGCAACTCTACTACTACGCATAGCTACTAGTAAGACTCACCGGCTCCACTGAGGACTTTTTCTCGGCATCGTGTAGACCTTTAACAATGTGTTGCCTGGGTTGAATGTTTGCGTGACTAGTGTTGGATTCAAACCCGGATACTGAGGGAGAGAGCACTAACTACTGGGCTATCAACCTGACACAATCGTGACTATATACTAAAATTGGAAATGCTGATGTGTCAAATGAACAAGAACACTAGTGTCTGTTTCCAAGTAGGTAAGATTGTACTGGAAGCCATTTAACAGATGTATTCTATGTCCACCAATAACATACATCTCTAATAACGAAAGTTTCATCCCCTGACGTAAATATCTAAATCATGTAGTATATGGTTTGAAAAATGCATTAATCGATTTCCATGGCAGTGCGTTTGGAGGCACGGGTCTAAATAGTGACATGTTTATGATCCATGCATTTACAGGCTTACTCTCAGATAATTTTATATTTATTGTAGAGATAGTTTATAAAGGCCCGGCGTTGTGATTCGGTAGAGCGATGCCCATGCGACGAAGCGGTCCTTGGGAAAATGAAGGAATGGATGGAGAGTGAGTGAGTGAGTGAGTAGAGGGTGAGTAGGGCTTAACGCCGCTTTGAACAGTGAGTGAGTTAGTTTTACGCCGCATTCGGCAATATTCCAGCCATGTGGCGGTGGTCTATAAATAATCGAGTCTGAACCAGACAATCCAGTGATCAACAGCATGAGCATCGATCTACAATGACGTGTGCCAACCAAGTCAGCGAGCCTGACCACCCGATCCCGTTAGTCGCCTCTTACGACAAGCATGGGTTACTGAAGATCAATTCTGTCCCGGATCTTCACGGGTTGGCAGTATTAGAGTTATAAGCTTGATGTTGGGATATACCGGATAAGGTGCGGACTAACCTTGAATAATAATCAGCTCGAACCGGGATTCGAATCCGCAATCACAGGTTTCTGGTGGACCAATGGGACGCAATTCGACACAACTGCAGCGTTATATACTATCCCAAAAAAAGGAACGCATAGGTGTTTCTCTCTATTTTTAAAAATCTATTAATTACCTACTGTGTTCAAACAATCGTCAAAATATGTAACGAAAGTGTTGATAACATGATTTTACACAATTGCACAAGTAAAAAATCGACTTTACCTGAAAATGTTGATTTCTTACAAGGATTAAAAAGGCACTGTCTGTCTATAAAAATCCAGATTACTTTCGGAAAGTGACATTCGTTTTGAAGGAATTTTAAGGTCAAAGCACTATGCTACATCTTGACTCTGCGACATGGAACATCGCCATTGAAAGAATGCACGCTGGAGATTGCCAATCTTCTGTTGCCATGCGTCTGAATGTTAGTCTGAGCACGATGTCACGGCTTGCAGCTCGTTACAACCAAACAGGTATAACAAATGACCGTCCCCGTACAGGCAGACCTCGAGTCTCCACTGCAGTCCAAGTACGGTACATCCGGGTACTACATTTGCGTGATCGTGCTGCCACGGATGAGAGCACAGCAGCCAGGGTGCCTGGACTTCGGAGGATATCCGATCAAACTGTACAGAACAGGTTGAGAAAGATTGGACTGAGAGTCAGGAGACACGACGTCGGAACCGTGCTACGTCGTCACCATGTCGCTCAACGTCTCCGTTATCTAAAATTATCCACTTGGTTGTATAGACATTTCCTTCTGTAAAAATTCATGTACTAAAGTCTATTTGTGGACGAGTTATACATGTTTGAAAATACAACAGATTTCTCGGTTATGCGTTTCTTTTTTTAATAGTATACTTTAATGGTCGACCTGTGCCCAAAAGAAGTAAACAAATGAAGGAACAACAGCATGAATGTGCAATTAATTATGCATGTAAAAATGCAAAATTACTGAGTGAGTGAGTGAGTTTAGTTTTTTACTCGCTTTTAGTAATATTAAAGCAATATCACGGCGGGGGACATTAGAAATGGGCTTCACACGTTCTACCTATAATAGAAATAAATATAGTCAGCAGGTTGTCTCAAATGAAAGACCGTTGGTTGACTGAACAGATGAGCGGATAAACATTTAAGGTGTTATTTGTCTGGCACTTTTGACGTGTTATCACCTAGCCATTAATATATAGAGAGATGTTGTGTACGTTTACTAACACCCGGCTTCATCCCACTATCATATTAAGTGTTACAATGTTAAAATCGAGTTTGTGGCAGTGGGATAGCCTAGTGGTTAAAGCGTTCGCTCGTCACGCCGAAGACTCGGGTTCGATTCCCCACATGGGTACAATGCGTGAAGTCCATTTCTGGTGTCCCCCCGCCGTGATATTGCTGGAATATTGCTAAATGCAGCGTAAAACCAAACTCACTCACTCGCTCACTCGCTCACTCACTCACTAAAATCGAGTGTTACGTAAAAAGTTTACGGCGTCGTACAGCGACGATCGAAAGACTGTGTTCACGTTACGACACACAAAGTACTGTTATACTGTAAATGTTTCAAATACACATCCTGCACACACTTGCAAAGTTGTTTTTTTTTCAGTTTTTTTATATACATGTATAGTTTTGTTGGTGAGTGGGTGAGTATGTATTTTTCGCCCAAGTTAAGAATTATCTAGCAATAGGACATCCGAAGTGATCTGATCTTCACTCATTCTACCAATATGGAGAATCGAAGTCGGGTCTTCGGCGTGAGGAGCGAACGCTTTAACCACTAGCCTACGTGTAATATAGTTGTGTTCAGGATCTTAAGGAGCGGTGGGGTAGCCTAATGGTTAAAGCGTTGGCTCGTCAAGCCGAAAACCCGGGTTCGAATCCCCACATGGGTACAATGTGTGAAGCCCATTTCTGGTGTCCCCCGCCGTGATGTTGCTGGAATATTGCTAAAAGCAGCGTAAAACCCAACTCAGTCAATCAGTCAGTCAGGATCTTAAATTTGCTTGATGATGGCTTACATTCAAGCAGTGTCATGAAACATGTGTAAAACGAGATAAATACATGGATCGCTGACGTCAGTTTTACACGTATAAAGCCATCCTTCCAGCAGGACACATAAAAACTTAGCCGGTTACATTTAGCAAGTACGGCTTTGAATGCCACCGTTTTACGTGATTGAAAACCGAACGCTTTTACGTATTTTCCTCTGAATATTTTATCCCTCCCGAAAGCCTGGGACATTGTTTACGAATAAACATCACCAACAATTGCTCTGTTAGTTGCAATCGCCAAGAGAATTACACGCACCATTATCAAATACTCTCAACGAAAACTACAATTCCAAAAAACAAGTTTGAAAGGAGATAATTGAATAATTTATATATGCCATATTGGTGGCGCTTCATATAGGGGATCTGTCAGATATTTTTGTGTGAATCCTTTAGAACAGCGGAACCAGTCATCTGCAGTTCGAGAGATGCGCCCAACAATTTGGAACAAGGATCCCTGAATATTTAATGTTTCGGCTAAATGAATACTGCCTGGCTGTTCAGCGCCATCTACCGGCATGCCGAGAGGTTGGCGCTGACTGATGAATATTCATGACTTTCAACTGGCGGGCGTATGGCTAAACTGAAATTGATTCCGCCGAGGTACAGAGGTATCCGATTCCGTTTTATGTCAGTTTTAGTGATTAAATGTTTTGGGCGATTTTTTTTTCATACTATCAGTCGCAACATGAAAAATGACTTGGGAATATGTAATTGTATTTAAATAATACGATACGCTCCTGTCGATCAAGGAATTATCCAACAATTATAACATGAAATTTTCAATAAATGATATATTGCTCAACTGTGCCGCGCGTGGGATAAGACGTCGTGCTGGGGGATGCATGTCCAACTGCTATTATTTAACGTGGTAATAAATACTTCACTAAATATGCCGACATTCAGTGGATGTCATGTTTTAATGCATTTCAAGCACATTAAGCACA